GCCACCACGCCCAGCCTGTTTAATCAATATAACCTAATCATGGGAGCAAAATCCCAACACATTCCTTAAGTCCCTCTCATGCTCAAAGGGAGGGGATTATATAGGGCATGTACACGGGGTTGGGGGAGGCAGGAACCTTGGTGGCCTTGAAATCTGCTCACCATACCTTGTGACTTGCTTTGACCAATAGAATGCAGTGGGAGCAACGTTGTGTAACTTCCAAGGCAAGACCTTAAGAGGCTTTGTGTGTCTCTCACCTTATGTGACTCCTGGAACCACGTAAGGAAGCTTAAACTAGACTATGAATGATAAGAGACCAGGAGGAGAGAGAAGCCCAGTCAGCATCCAGTACTATCACTCCAGACGTATGCGTGAAGCCTTGGCCTTGTCTGTGACTGTGGCCACACCAGTTACCCTACACAAGAGCAGGAAAGAGGACCATCCAAGGTGCCCGTCAAACACAGAATCATGAGAGATAATAGATTATTGCGTTTTAAGCCACTAAATTTTTGTTTGTTGTACTACAGACTTTTTTTGATGAAAGGAAGGTAAGTCTCAGGACCCCCAAATCACGAAGCCGAAAAGGAAGTTGTTGGCCGGGCGCGGTGGCTCACGCCTGTAATCCCAGCACTTTGGGAGGCCGAGGCGGGTGGATCACAAGGTCAGGAGATTGAGACCATCCTGGCTAACACGGTGAAACCCCGTTTCTACTAAAAATACAAAAAATTAGCCGGGCGTGGCAGTGGGTACCTGTATTCCCAGCTACTCGAGAGGCTGAGGCAGGAGAATGGCGTGAACCCGGGAGGCAGAGCTTGCAATGAGCTGAGATGGCGCCACTGCACTCCAGCCTGGGCGACAGAGTGAGACTCCGTCTCAAAAAAAGAAAGAAAGAAAGTTGTTGCCTTTCTTGGGGTTGAAAATTGAACCCCAAAAATCACTAAGTCAAGCTGGGGACTGCATCAGGTAAACTTGGCTCCCATTTTTTCCCTAAATAAGATAGCTACAAAGATTAAAAAACTACATATCTCCTTCACAGTTTGCCCCCAAGGAATTTCCATGTGGGCCTCAAGATCTTCACCCTGAAACCATTGTGTTGAATTTCGCCTTGGCAATGTAAATTGATAGTTTCTCTTCACAGATGGTGGGACAAGGACAGAACTCAAAGCCACCCCTCTTCTCACCTGAGACGAATGCATATTTGATTGCTTCCTCTGGCCTGTCGCTTATGTAAAAACGCAGATTCAGTGAGACAGGCTGAGGCATAAGTGACTCTTCCTCTACCCCTCCTCACATGTAAATTGTGTATTCAGTGAAAGGCTGATCAGACTCAAAATAATACAAGCTTTTGTCTCTTACCTACCTATGACCTGGAAACCCTCACTTCAAGTTGTCCCGTCTTTCCAGACTGAACCCCACGTACATCTTAAATGTGCTGATTGGGCCGGGCACAGTGGTTCACGCCTGTAATCCCAGCACTTTGGGAGGCCGAGGCAGGCAGATCACAAGGTCAGGAGATCGAGACCATCCTGGACACGGTGAAACCCCGTCTCTACTAAAAATACAAAAAATTAGCCGGGCGTGGTGGCAGACACCTGTAGTCCCAGCTACTCGGGAGGCTGAGGCAGGAGAATGGCATGAACCCGGGAAGCGGAGCTTGCAGTGAGCGGAGATCGCGCCACTGCACTCCAGCCTGGGCGACAGAGCGAGACTCTGTCTCAAAAAAAAAAAAAAAAAAAAAGTGCTGATTGATGTCTCATATCTCCCTAAAATGTATAAAACCAAGCTACACCCCTATCACCTTGGGTACATGTCATCAGGACCTCCTGAGGCTGTGTCCCAGGCACGTCCTTAACCTTGGCAAAATAAACTTTCTAAATTGATTGACATTTGTCTCATATAGTTTTGGTTCACAATTTCATAGGAAACTGATTTGCCGTCTGTCTGGGCAACAAGTCCCACAGGCTAAGAGATCAATTTTTTTCCTTCATGATGTTCTACCAAACCTCAGAACTACAGACTGTCAGAGGTAGAGGGGATTTTTTTCTCATAGCATAGAGACTATCTTCTCCAGGGGCTCATAAACAAGGGAAGGGCATGTGAGAGGTCCATAAATCTCTCCGAAATTTTGGAATGACTTGAAAAGAACAGATTTTCAAAACAGTCACCTGCAGCCGGTCGCAGTGGCTCACGCCTGTAATCCCAGCACTGTGAGAGGCCAAGGCGGGCAGATCACGAGGTCAGGAGTTTGAGACCAGTCTGACCAACGTAGTGAAACCGTGTCTCTACTAAAAATACAAAAATTAGCCTGGCATGGTGGCATGTGCCTATAGTCCCAGCTACTCAGGAGGCCAAGGCAGGACAAATCACTTGAACCTGGGAGGCGGAGGTTGTAGTGAGCCAAGATACACCACTGTACTCCAGCCTGGGCAACAAAGCGAGACTCCATCTCCAAAAAAAAAAAAAACAAAGTCATCTGCCAAAAAATGTCGTAGAGCACTAAAAAGGGCCAGTTCCTCCCCCATTTTTGAAGTTGAAAAACTAAGATCCAGAGAGGAGAAAAGGACCTGGACAACATCATACGCTTACCAAAAGAAAAGGGACCCAAGCCTGGCTGCCCGCATTCCCACTTCATCTGATCACGTCCCTCCTCTACTCAAAAAACTCCCTCACACTTCCCACTGCCCGAGGCAACGTCCAAACCTATCCAGCATTCAAGGCGCTTCCCAAGTTAGGCCCAACCCATCTTTCCACCGCCATCCTCTGCCGTACTGCACCAACCCAGGCCATAGCAGACTTCTTTCCCATCCCCAAAACACACTCTCAGGCTCTGATGTGTTCTGTTGTTCAAGCTGACACATCCACCCAGGACACCCTTCCCATTCTTCACTCATAGGCCAATTCCCATTTGTCTTTCCAGCCCCAAATCAGAGGTCTCCACCTCTGAGAAGGCCTCCCAGTCTCACCTCCAGGCAGTAGGTTGCTCCCCCATGTCCACCCCCAAGACATCCTGTTCAGACTCTTATGGTAAGCTTACAATGCCTTCCCCAAAGATGTCCATGCCCTAGCCCCCAGAACCTGTGGATAGGATACCTTACTTACCATCCACGTTACCCTATGGTAAGAGGGTCTTTGCAGATCTGATTAAGTTAAGGAGGTTGAGATGGAAAGATCATTCTCAATTATTTGGGCAGACCCAATGTAATCACAAGCGTCCTTATAAGAAAGAGGCAGAAGCCAGATGTGGTAGCTCACGCCTGTAATCCCAGTACTTTGGGAGGCTGAGGCGGGCGGATTACTTGAGGTCAGGAGTTCGAGACCAGCCTGGCTAACATGGTGAAATCCCCATCTCTATTAAATACAAAAATTAGCCGGGTGTGGTGGCGTATGCCTGTAATCCCAGCTGCTCGGGAGGCTGAGACAGGGAGAATTGTTTGAACCCGGGAGGCAGAGGGTGCAGTGAGCCGAGATTGTGCCACTGCACTCCCACCTGGGTGACAGAGCAAGACTCCATATCAAAAACAAAACGAAACAAAAAACAAAAAGAAAAAGAAAAGAAAAAGAAAGAAAGAGGCAGGAAGTGAGCAAAGGGATCGTAGAAACAGAGATTTGAGTGATGAAGTCATGAGCCAAGAAATGCCAGCAACATTTAGAAGCTGGATGAGGCATGGAACAGACACTCTCCTCCAGCCTCCGAAAAGGGACCAGCCCTAAGGATACCTTCACTTGGGCCCAGTAACACTGATTTGGGACTTTCCACCTCCAGAGTCATCAGCTAACAAATTTGAGTCATTTTAAGCCACTGAGCTTGTGTTAATTTGTGACAGCAGCAACACGAAACTCCTACACTTTTATTCTAGCATTAGTCACACTGTGCCTTTTCACTCCACTGAGAACTCCTCAGCCTGGGGCGCTTTTGTTTCCTGATGGTTTAACACAAAGCCTGGTGCTTCACAAGGGCTCACAAACACTGCTGAATGAATCAACAAGTGAAATCACCTGCTTCATCGCCCGCATGTCTCCCTCAGCCCAAACACACACACTCCCATACCCACTCCACTCGCCTGCCCATCCACCACCACCCACATCTCCCAGGAGGACATTTCTATTTTTACCACAGCAGCTCACCTTGGGCTGGCCAGCAAATAGGTGTTTTCCTAGAACATACTTATTTTAAGTGAGGAGAGGGATTTCTTTCAAGGTAGTAGTTGGACAAATCTGCCAGGAGGAAAAGACTAACATTTTGATATGGTGGATTTGAAACCCAAGAATTGGCATCGTAGCACAGAAGTGTAAAAATCTTTCCTAATGAGCCATTGATGTTCACAAGATACAACCCTGACTCTTCACAATCCCCATTCCTCCCAACCCCATCTCAACCCCAAGGTGGTCACTGGAAGGATGGGGAAATCTGTATTTAATGACACTGAAAGATGTCCACTTTATAGCATTAAGGGAGAAAAGCAGATTCCAGAACAGTGTGAATAGCGTGATCCCATTTTGTTAAAAAATCAAATCTACAATGTGTATGTATATACATATATATACACAGACGTACACAGGTGTACGTAAGTTCATGTAGGCATAAAGCAGAGGCTGGAAGATTGGTGAAGATGTTAACAATGGTTTTATGGGAGTTATGGACAGTTGCTTTTTTATCTGTATTTTTAAAAATTGTTTTACAAAGAACAAGACTACTAACATAATGGGAAATAAAGTTCAAGTAATTTCAACATTTAAAAAGTGGAGCGTTTTGCGCGGCGGGGCTATTTTTCGTGTCCATTCCCGGACAGCCCCAGCTCGATCCCCCGCCCCTCCCCAAGTAGGAAGCTGGGGTCTGGGCTCCCCAGAGCAATGGCGGAAGCTTCGCGCAGCTGCGGGCGGGGAGAGGGACGCGGCCGGGTCGGGGGGCCGGGAGGGGTGCTGGGAATCGGAAAACACAGATATGACCGCGAAGGCGGCTTCTGCCGAATAACCAGATGATGACCCGCTGTGGGCCCAAGGTGGGGTGCAGGGTGACCCGTTCCTGCCCGCGGTCCCTCTCCCTCCCTCACTGCCACACCGGACCCGCCGAGTCCTCCCCGGTCTCCCGGGCGAGGGCAGGTGTCGCCCGAGACCCCGGCCGCAGTCAGATGCCCACGGTCACCCAGGCCTTCCTCGGCCCCATTCGCTGCACACCCCTTTCCTGCGGTGGCGTTTTTGTTTTAACTCTTCTGAACTGGTTACAAAACCACACTCCCACGAATACATAAATAATGGATGGGGGCGATGTTTTAAAGAAATTCCCGCAAGGCCTGGCAAGGCAACAGCAACTGCATTTCTGCTGCATCATTTTTAACTGTTTGCAGGCTACTGCGGGAGACGCGCGTTGGCGGAGAGACTCCGGGTCCACAGCCCTTCTCCGCCCGGGGCCTGGCGAGACTCGCGTGGGGATTAAGAGGCGAGGAGAGGGTGTCAGCGATCGGGCGCCAGCAAGATGGGGGAGGGGTTATAAGCGTAAGGCCGCAGCGTGCCCACAAGCCGGGTACCCATCGGGTCCGCCGGCAGCTGCTCCCTCCGCCGGCGCGGCTCCTTTAAGAGCCAGAGCGCGCCCCCGCCCC